AGTTTGGTCGGAGAAGACGCGGCGTCACAAGCCAAACCTCAGGAGGCCCACGCGGCTTTCTTGGATCGGCGCCGCCCCCCCCCCCCCGCTGGCGCGGGGAGCGCGCCGGGTGCGGCGCCTGGACCTCCGAAAGGTTGTGTTCCTGTGTACACTTTTAATTCCCAATTCTTCGAGCGTTCTTCGATCTTTTGGGGGCCAAGATCTTCTCAGTTCTAATTGTTCTGTCCTGGGCCTCTTCCTGGCCGCTAGGGGGCCAGGAACAGTCAGAAACCAGCGCGATCAGACATGAGCACGACCAGAAACGAACGACGAGGAGTCGTCCATTCTTCTGAGTGGACCTGCCTTGGAGCTCCTCTCGCCCCATCCACTTGCACCTCGGTGTGCACACGACGACTCACACGGCCCATGCCTCTCCCGCGGCCCTCTCCCGCCTCCCGCCTCGCGCCCCCCCCCGCTGGCGCGGGGAGCCCGCCGGGGGCCGCGCCTGGACCTCCGAAAGGTCGTGCTCAGATGGTTGTTCATCAGGAGGGGAAAAAACACAGACACAATCAATGGGATTTTTTTCCGGCAAAGCAACCTAACAGCGATGTGTAGAAGCATATCTGGAAGCATTCCCCTTAAGATTTAGGTGAGAATCCAGTTGTAGAATTCTGCTGTTCTCGCAGTCGCAGCCTCAGCCTGCCTCGGCTTGCCTCGGCCTCAGCCTCAGCCTGCCTCGACCTCAGACTCAGCCTCAGCCTGCCTCAGCCTGCCTCAGCCTCAGCCTGCCTCAGCCGCAGCTTGCCTCAGCCTCAGCCACAGCCTCAGCCTCAGCCTCAGCCTGCCTCAGCTTCAGCCTCAGCCTCAGCCTGCCTCGGCTTGCCTCGGCTTGCCTCGGCCGCAGCCTCAGCCTGCCTCAGCCTGCCTCAGCCTCAGCGTCAGCCTGCCTCAGCCTCAGCCTGCATCAGCCTCAGCCTCAGCCTGCCTCAGCCTCAGCCACAGCCTCAGCCTCAGCCTCAGCCTCAGCCTGCCTCAGCTTCAGCCTCAGCCTCAGCCTGCCTCGGCTTGCCTCAGCCTCTGCCTCAGCCTGCCTCGGCCTCAGCCTCAGCCTCAGCCAGCCTCAGCCTCAGCGTCATCCTCTCAGCCTCAGCCTGCATCAGCCTCAGCCTCAGCCTGCCTCAGCCTCAGCCGCAGTCGCAACTTGCCTCAGCCACAGCCTCAGCCTTAGCCTCAGCCTGCCTCAGCTTTAGCCTCAGCCTCAGCATGCCTGGGCTTGCCTCGGCCTCAGGCTCAGCCTGCCTCGGCCTCAGCCTCAGCCTCAGCCTGCCTCAGCCTCAGCCTCAGCCTGCCTCAGCCTCAGCCTGCATCAGCCTCAGCCTCAGCCTGCCTCAGCCGCAGCTTGCCTCAGCCTCGGCCACAACCTCAGCCTCAGCCTCAGCCTCAGCCTCAGCCTGCCTCAGCTTCAGCCTCAGCCTCAGCCTGCCTCGGCTTGCCTCAGCCTCTGCCTCAGCCTGCCTCGGCCTCAGCATCAGCCTCAGCCTGCCTCAGCCTCAGCGTCAGCCTCTCAGCCTCAGCCTGCATCAGCCTCAGCCTCAGCCTCAGCCTCAGCCTCAGCCTGCCTCAGGCTCAGTCTCAGCCTGCCTCAGCTTCAGCCTGCCTCAGCCTCACCCTCACAGTTGGCTCCGGGCAATCAAAATGTAGCCTGGGAATTGTGTGCTGGGAACACGAAGAACACGAAGTGGCCTACAGTTGGCTCCGGGCATTCAAAATGTGGCCCGGGAATAGTGTTCTGGGAACACGAAGAACACGAAGTGGCCTACAGTTGGCTCCGGGCATTCAAAATGCGGCCCGGGAATAGTGTTCTGGGAACACGAAGAACACGAAGTGGCCTACAGTTGACTCCGGGCATTAAAAATGTGGCCCGGGAATGGTGTTCTGGGAACACGAAGAACACGAAGTGGCCTACAGTTCTCCGGGCATTCAAAATGTGGCCCGGGAATGGTGTTCTGGGAACACGAAGAACACGAAGTGGCCTACAGTTGGCTCCGGGCATTCAAAATCATGCCCAGGAATGGAGTTCTGGGACCTCGAAGACCACGAAGTGTGTAACTGTTTGCTTACAACGACTTCCGCGGGTTCTCCCCGGCACCCGCCCAGACCCTCCTGGGGAGTCAAGATGTCTCTTTTGACACTACTAGAAACCTATCAGTCTTCGCTGTTAAGTAAATATGGGAAGTGAGGGGGAAGACAGAAACCCAGAAAATATGGGAAAATATAGGGGATCTTTTTTTGTGTGTATGTCTTTGTGTGTCCCAGGGCCCCTTCAGTTCATTCTTCGACGTGAACCTGTCCTGGAACTCCTCGGCTCCTCCATCGCTGACGCCTCTCGCCCCATCCGCCTGCGCCTCGGCGTGCACGCGAAGACCCGCACGGCCTCCTCTCCCTCTCCCGCGGCCCTCCTCCCGCCTCCCGCCCCGCGCGGCCCCCTCTTCCCTGTGCCTCGCTGCGCCCCGGCGCGCCCCGCCTCCGCTCGACCGCCGTCCGATCCTCCTGCGGTCCCTGGCTCAAAAGTCTCGAAATTTCAGTCGGGCCCGTCCCTCTACAGGAGGAATATTCAAAAAATAGTCTGGGGACTATTTGTTTAGCATTTTCTTTAAAATTTGGGAGTATTTTTTTTGTATTTGATATTTTTCGCCGATATCCCCCTGTAGCGGGACAGGCCCGACCTAATCTTAAAATTTGGAATTCATAAGATTTTCGGGCAGTCTCGGGGCGCTCTTGAGGCCATCTTTCGGCCGTCTTGGGTTTTTCAATTTGGGGGGGGGGCCTGAGACCTGAGTCGCATCCTGGGAAGCTGCTGGCGGGCCTTGTGGGGGCCGCCGTCCAGATGGGTCTCTGGGGGCGACCTCCGGGACGCCCTCGGGATAGGTGTGGGTTGTCTCGGGGCTCGGAGTACGGAGGGCCTGTTTTTTCGACTGCGGAATGCAGCGGGAAGGGGGGGCGACCTTAGAAATTTACAGAGCCCCTGCCCGACAGCAGCCAGGTGTTCCAACACGCCCCCATGTGCCGGAGGCGCGGTGGTGCATTCAGGTCAGTGCACGCCAGGCGCAGGCGTCATTGGATTGTGGTCCGATGTGCGCGTTGTTTTGCGACTGTATTTCGTCGTGGCAGCGCCACCTGATAGCTTAGTTGCTGTTTGTCATTCTTGCCCATGTGGTCGACCGTCATTTTTCCCCTGGGGCTGGACAGAGCAACGCAATAGTTGCCAGCGGAAATATGTATCAGATGCCACGTTGAAATGACCCATGCGAATTACCAAGTTGTTCGTACCGATGGCAGAGCTCACCCAAGGAGTGCGCACGAAGTACCGATGGCGCAGATGTTGAGTGCGGTGGGAAAGCGGCGATGAGGAAGACCACGAAGCCAGTTCCAAGATGACGTTTGTGATTTTTGAGCATGGTCCCCAGCCGGACATGTCGGGGTTGCTAGATTGAATGAAAGAGCTTCCGGTCCGCCTCGCATGCTCTGTATACCGCGGCCGCCACGCCCACAGTGTGGTGGTGCTCCCTGGGTATCCTGGCTCGCCTTCTTGGGTGGGGATTGCTCGAAGCAGCCTGTGTTCCTGAGCCAGGTCGAGGGCAAAATGACTTAGTTGTTGCTCGTGCTCTCTGTTGCGACAGCCTTGCGGACGGTGCCGCCGACCCAGTGTGCTACGGGCCGGAAGAGACATTTACAGTGGCATGTTGAGCACGAGGAGGAGGAGGAGGAGGAGGAGGAGGAGGAGGAAGAGGAGGAGGAGGAGGAGGAGGAGGGAGGGAGGAGGAGTGGGAGGGGGGAAGCGGTGGGGGAAGGAGAGAGTGAGAGGGGCAGGACTCTTGGGGCCATCGTAGGGCCCAGGGAAAGGGGAGGAGCGGCGACGACGATGACTCAAACAGAAAAGCGTCTCACACACACACACCGACAGGGCCGGTGTTGCTCGTGCTCGCCTTCCGAGTCCAACCGTTCGTCCGAGCATCAGAACGAGGTCGGTGCCGGGGCCGAACACCCAGATGGGGTTGACACCCCCATGTGGCATTCCACATGATGATTTGCAGGATGCCAGGCACGGAGGCCCTTTCATTCTGCCAGAGATAGAGAGCCGCGCGTGTTGTGAGAGATCATGCTCGTCCTGGTTAGAGCCTGCCAGTGATTTACGCCCACGCGTTCGTCTAGGGATCATGTTTGCTATCTAAGGGTCCACGTGTTTTGCCTTGGGCGGAGCTCGCCTTCAGTAGAGGGCGAAGCTTCCCCCATGCACAAATCAAATGGCAGAGGCCAGCAAGCTTCAGCATCGGCACTTTATCTTCGGAACCGAAGGTCAACCTACAGGGGACAGGTTTTGAAACGTGTGGACTGTTCAGTCTAACTTTCCACTTTAGGCATGGGCGCTCGTAAATATCGAACGCTTCGTCCAGGGTGGGGCTCCTTGGCTGCAGGTGGGGCATAGCAGGCCGTGGAAGCTACATGTGCTGGGAGCGTTAGGGAAGGAGGAGGCGGCGGAGGCGGAGGCGGAGGCGGAGAGAGGCGGAGGAGAGGCAGGCGGGAGTCAAGAGGGGCCCTGCCTCTTCGGGTGACAGGCCTTGGGGCCGCCCGGGTGTGCCACAGACCCGTCCCGTCTCCACCTCTCTGCGGAGCGATGCAACCCAGAGGCGTCACGCTCTCCAAAGGCGGCATGCGGAGCCGATGTCCCAGGATCCCAGGAAGCCGTACATCTGGAGACCTCTGGGCCGCTGAAGGCTTGGAATCTATATAGTTACAGGTATGTACGTATACATGTAATTATATATATGTAGATGTATGTACATGTGAATATTTACATGCTTATGCATAAATGAATATATGTGTATGTATACAGCCTCCCAGGGCCCCGCGGCATCCGTTTCCAAGGCGGTGGGTAAGTCGTCAGCTCAAGCCCAGGAGTTGCGCCGGAAGATCCGGGATTCCTGGAGCCCGCTACCGCACGGCCACGCAGCCGCCGCGAGGTGCTCTACTACAAGTCTGGCTCCAAGGAGTGCAAGGCACGCTGGCCCGCAGGGCGGGGGGGGTTAGGCAGGCCTACTGTCAGGAATGTTTGCCTTGTTTGTCGCGACGGTTCTGGCCCACCACGTTTCGGCGCGATACGCTGACCACGTCTGCGTTTCCAAGCGTCAATGTCCCGAGCTTTGCCCAGTCTCCCTGTCACGCGGAGTGGAGCGACACCCTTTCAGCTCTCGGGACAGAGCGCTTCGCCGGGGCCGCCGCCGCGACACGCTCAGCACAAGCTCTTGATCGTAGGATGAAGGTCATTCCGCCAGAGCGCTCTAGAACGCTGTCAGCGTTACAGTCGGCCCGGATTAGTAGGTCGACCCTGCCAAATCAAGGGTACCTCTGTGTCCCGTGTCTCGCGACCCATGCTTCCTACATTCCTGTGGCAACGTGGCCCTCGGAAGGGTCTCGTGTCCTCTCGCGTGTCCTGTCCAATCGAGTCCGACGGTACAGGGCGCTCTGGAATGGCAGCAGCTCCCGACGCATCCTCCAGACCCGCTGGCTCTCATCGGAGGCGGAAAAGAGGGGGGTGATGACTAGGGGGGGGTGGATATCATGGCGGGGGCCATGGTATTTCCCCAGATTTCATGGCGCCTCTTCTTATTCCAAAACGTCCCTGGCCCCCCCGCTGGGCCGCGCACATGCCGCCGGTCATGATTGGCACCCCCCCCTCTTGGACACCCCCCTCTTGGCCGCTCCCGATCTCAGAGATTCCCGATCCAGGTCTCGATCCAGGTGCATTTCGAGGGTGTCTTGCGCCGTTCCGCCGATCCCCAGAGGAGCCGACGTGCGGCTTCCAGTCTCGTATGCATGTGTTGCTTGCTGCAGGGCTGAGCCTGAACGGTGTTGATCGTTTTCGTGTTGTGTTTTTCGTTGTCCATCGTTTTGTCTTCAATCCGCCTTTACCGCAAAACGAACTCGAAACGAAAACGGCCCACGAAATTGCCCAAACACCGTTTAGGTCCGTCCCTTGCTTGCTGCTTCTCGTCATGTTGCCTTCGTTCGCCTTCCTCTTCCTCCGAATCGGGTGCGGGGCTCCTTGGGGACCTCTGGCAGGCCTCGGGGGGGGGGGCTGTTGTGAACCTCCTGAAAGCCCCTGTAGCCTGTTGGGGACCCTCTGGGGGCTTTTTGTGAGCCCCTTGGGGGTCTCAGGAGGCATGATGGCGATCTTGGGGGTCGTCTTGTGGGGGAGGCCTCCTGGGGGCCCCTTCGAGTTCCCCCTCATGGGCTTCTTTCGTGCCGCTCTTGGGGCCCTCTTGAGGGCGCCCTTTGGCCATCTTGGGGGCCTCCCGGGCAGTCTTGCGGCCCTCTCGTGCCGTCTCTGACGAAATCAGCAACCCAAGGACCATCCATGACTGCTGCATCTCCAGGCCCTCCTGGGAGTGTCTTCCTCGAGCCCTCTTGGGCCGTTCTGAGGCCAGTTTGGGCGTTCCTGAGGCCCCTCCTGGAGCCCTTGTTCTGATCCCTCCGGCCGCCTGAGGCCCCGCCCGCCCGCGCCCTGTCTCCCCAATTAGGGCTAGCCGCGTCCCGTTTAGCTCTTGACCGGAAGGGGCCCGCTCCCGACCCGCAGGCCAAAAAAAAAAGTGTTGGAGCCCTTGTAATTTTTCCTGGAGCCATCCTAGCAAACATCTTGGGCATCTTGGAGGCCACGCACGGTGGACTCGGAGGCTCCGAGGGGCCCCGAGGTGCGTTGAGGAGCTCGCCGTCCCCCCGGCGAAAAACGAGGACGTGTCCATATCCACCGCCTGGAGAGCTGACGTCCTGAGACCCAGGCGAGCGGTGGACATGGATATACCTTGGCCGTAGGGCTTGGCATCGCTCGGACGTGTGCATGTTTCCTTCGGCGAAGACCATCGAGGAGCATCCTTGATCATTTGGCGAAAAGCCACGCACGAAACCGAAACAAAAACACAGGGAACGGACGTCCGAGCGATGGCCAGTAGGGAGCCCGAGCAGCTCCACATCCGCCGCCTGCCGAGGTCCCCGAAGGTCGAGCCCCCATGGAGCGGTTATTGATCGATCCCGGCCTCTGAGATTGGGCCCAAAGAGGCGCCCCCGAGGCGCCCAAGACGCTCCCAGAGGCCCCCGGGACCGCCAGGAGGCCCCCGAGACGCTCCAGGAGGGCTCCAAAGGAAGCTCGCAGGAGACATCCGAGGAGACTCCGAGAGGCATCCTGGAGGCATCTCGCCCATCTGCTCGACCCCCTCCTCCACCTCTCGGGGGCGGAAAAGAGGGGGGTGATGACTAGGGGAGGGTGGATATCATGGCGGGGGCCATGATATTTCCCCAGATTGGCGCCTCTTCTCATTCCATTACGTCCCTGGCCACCCCGCTGGGCCGCGCACATGCCGCCGGTCATGATTGGCCCCCCCCCCTCTTGGACACCCCCCTCTTGGCCGCTCCCGATCTCAGAGATTCCCGATCCAGGTCTCGATCCAGGTGCATTTCGAGGGTGTCTTGCGCCGTTCCGCCGATCCCCAGAGGAGCCGACGTGCGGCTTCCAGTCTCGTATGCGTGTGTTGCTTGCTGCAGGGCTGAGCCTGAACGGTGTTTGTCGTTTTCGTGTTGTGTTTTTCGTTGTCCCTTGTTTTGTCTTCAATCCGCCTTTCCCGCAAAACGAACTCGAAACGAAAACGGCCCCCTCTTGGCCGCCCCCGAACCTCCTCGAGGGAGGGAGATCCAGGCACCTCGCGCGCTGCAGGCCGGGGCGGCCGCGGCCTCGGCGGCTGCCCGCCGCTGCAGCGGCAGCGACCTGGCATCGCTCGGACGTGTGCATGTTTCCTTCGGCGAGGGCCATCGAGGAGCATCCTTGATCACTTGGCGAAAAAGCCACGCAGGAAACTGGAAGAAGCACAAGAAATGGACGTCCGAGCGATGGCCAGGAGAGGGGAAGACGAGCAGGCCCACTCTCGGAGGGCCGCACGGGTGTCTGAGGTCGGCGCTGGGCCTGCCTCGGCGCGCGGGAGTCAGCCCCGATCCCTAGAATCGGGTGCGGAAAAGGGGGGGGCTGTTTATTATGGGGGTGGATATCGTGGCGTGGGCCACGATATCTCCCCAGATTTCATGGCGCCTCTTCTTAGTCCATTGCGTCCCTGGCCCCCCCTGCTGGGCCGCGCACGTGCCGCCGGTCATGAGTTGCACCCCCCCCCTCTTACACACCCCTCTTGGCCGCTCCCGGCTAGAAGCCCGACCAGGCCTTCAAGCCTATGATGACATGTGTTGCCCTCACCCACGGCCTCGGTTGCCCTGCCCCCGCGGGGTCGCGGAGGCGATCGCGCGTCGCGGACTGGGCCGGGCCGGAGGGCTGCCTTGCGCCAAGGTGGCCTCGCGGCGTCGCGGCGGCGCGCCTCGCGGGGCGCGAGGCGCGAAGTCGGGAGCCGTCGTTTCTGCCCCCGGCCTTCCCTCGCATTCCCGGCGCGTGCCTTCAGAGGCGCCCGACGTGATCGGGGGGGGGGCGCGAGGGCACCGGCGGGCCGTCCGTCGGAGCTCGGTGCCGAAGGGCCCTGCAAGGTTCCCTGCCCTTCCCACCCCGCCCGTCGGCGGCGAAGTCCGAGCCCTGCCCTCGCCGATCAACGATGCAGGCAACTCGATGGGCGGTGGTCGCTGGGTTCGAAATTCGTCGAACGCGCGGCGAAATTCGAGCCCTGACCCCGCCTTCCATCGCTTCAGGAGAATCGATTGCTGGTGGGGTGGGGTGCCAGCTAGTCCATCTTCACGCCCGCAGCCCCCCCCGTCCTCGTGCTCCTCCTGCTGTCCGTCCAGGCGCTGGTATTACTTGATCACGTTCGGCCATGCCTGGCCTTCTGCTCTTCGTCGACAAACCTGTTGCATACCATTCTTGGCCCGTGCAACTTCAATGCCCGTCGTCTCAATTGGATCCCCGCCGCCTTCCCAACCCGTGTCCTTCCCGCATTGGTTCAAAAGGCCGTCACCGACGCAAGTCCCATACGTTCAAAAATGCCTTCGAGACACCCCCCGCCTATCTCCTTCCCAACCCCATTCATCTTCATAATCCTTTTTTGCTCTGCCATACGTTCAGACTTCTCGAGGAGGCTGGAAAGCGGCACGCACATCGCACGCTTGACGCAATTCTACCACCGCTTGCGTGTCCCACTCGTTCAGGCAGGCCCCAGAGCCCAGGCCAGGCCAGCCGCCGCAGCCGCCATTACGACAGATTGTGAAACACCCCGCACGCTGTGCGCGAGGCACGCCGTGCTGGAATGCCATTCTCTCGGACCCCCCGCACGTCAAATTCAAATTCGTACGCCTGCAGGCTGTCCACCCCATCCCCCGCCACCCACAGAACCAAGACGTTCAACCGAAGCACAGCGGCTCGGCACATCCCGCCGCCGTGCCTGGGTCAGAGGGCCGGAGGCGCGTTGGATGCCTCTCGGGGTCTCGGGATGCCTCTCGGGGGCCCAGTGAAGGCCTCTTTGGCGGCCTCTTGACGGCCTCGCGGCGTCTTGGGGGCCTCCTGCGGGCACGCCCAGGGTATCGGGGGCCATCTTGGTGGGAGACGCCCCCATGGGCCCTTCGCGCTCCCCCCTCTTGGCCCCCTGTCGGGGCGGACTGGCGCCTGGCTGCCGCTCCGACGGAGTGCGCCCGCACCGCTGTCGGCAGTCACAGCCGTCACGGGGTGGCCTTCGATCCAGTGGCCGGTCATGAGGCACCGCGCGTACTCGGCGCGGCCGCGGGCAGGGCGGATTTTCCAACTGGCCCCCTCCGCGCGGCGGTCCTCTTGGGCTGTCGCTGGCGGGCCGCGGGGACGTCGATGTAAGCAGGCTGCTGCGCCTTCGGATGTTTGCCGTGCGGTTGGCGTGTGTCCCTTTGGACAACCTGGAGGATTAAGATGAGATGTTGCACATGCTGGGCACCTGCGTTTGCTGGTTCAGCTTGCTTGTCAGCGCAGCTCAGGGTGGATACCACGTCGTGCTCTATCACAAGAAGCTCCAGTTTTGTCATGGCGCCGGGCCCCTATCAGCCGAAAAGGCATGTGACCGAACAAAAGGAGCATGACGGAACGCCTGCCCGAAGTTGTGACCGAAGACGTAGTGTGATTGAGCTTGTGACCGAACTTGAAAGTCGTATTGGTTCCGGACCATAGGGCGAATTCGGAAAGCAACGAACGCAGGTTTCGGTCACACATTGCCAGATGTTCGGGTACGGTTTCGGTCATTGCCCCCCGATAGAGACGATGCTACATGAGTGTTGCAGACGACCATGTTTCATTGAATGATTGGTCGGTCTTGCATTATGCAAGATTTCCGCTGCACAAGCCGATGGTGTGTGGCCTGGAGCCGCAAGCGCACTCTTGCGCGCGCTGCCTTCGTGCGCTCCCAGTGGAGGCTGAGGACTCTGCGTCTGCGAGTCTTAGAGTCTCTAGCGCACTGCGAAGAGCCTCCTCAACCGCTTCTCCTTGCTGCTGATTTTTGCCCGTGCCGTCCTGTCTGAAGTCCCCCCTCCCGAGGCCTTCTACGACTCGAGCAGGCCAAACGGCTCCGGCCACTGGAAGATGCAGGCGGGCTTGGCGGAAAGGGGGGGCAGGGACGGGGAAGAAGAAGAAGAAGAACTATGGATGTGGTGTGGCGCAAGAAGCACACTACGGCGGAAGGTCAATGCAGCGTTGGCGCACCGGTGACGCCAGCGGAGGCGTTTACGATTGAATTCTGCGACGCAGAAGCACCAGGGGGCGCGGTGACGCCGCTGGGCCCGACGGAGTTCAGCCCTGAACTCTCGGGCCCGCGATCGATTCCAGGCGGAACGATCGACGCGGTGTCGAAGACCTTCGCACGCGCCGACGCCGCGCGAAGCCTGCCGTGAGCACAAGGATCAGGAGGGGAAAAAACACACAGGTACAATTAATCGTCGATTCCCCAGAAAATATTGGAAAATATGGGAATTGGGGGGGAAGACAGAAACCCAGAAAATATGGGAAAATATGGGGAATCCTTGTATTTGTGTGTATGTATTTGTGTGTCCCAGGGCCCCTTGAGAGGAGTTGCGCTCCTCTCGCGAGCAGGCGGCCCGCGGGCGCCGCCCGCACCTGGGCGGGCGGACCGCGCAGCGCCGAGCGTCGCGCGGCACGGCGTGCGGGCGGCAGCCGCACGGCGGGGCGGCGGCGAGGGGCCGCAGCGGAGCAGCCGAAGAAGCGGGGGAGCACGGCACATCAGGGCATAGCAGGAGGAGGAGGAGGCGGAGGAGGAGGGCGAGGAGGAGGAGGGGAGGCAGGACGAGGAGGAGGGGAGCTGCGGCGAGGGCGGGGGCGGGGTATAGTTTACCAGTTTGAAACATATCCCTATCCCTATGTTTGACATCACCTCACCTCGATCCCGATCTTCAGGATTCCCTCAGTTTCTGAGGGCCCATCCCCAAGATTGTCCTCGCTTTTTGCTCGCTCATCTTAGGGATAGGGATACGTTCGAGGCTGGTTAAGAGTACAGCATAGTCCATCATCCCCCCACGCGGGCTCGCCTGCTGCATGCCGCCCAGGGGACCCGGAGCGGAGAGCGCCGGGCCCAGCAGCGGCCACGCCAGGCTGCGGCACGCCCGTCGGGGAGGGCAAAGGCCCTTCCGGTGTGCGGTGTGCTCTTGTCGCGAGGCTGAACGCTGTCAGGCCAGAAACGGCCAACGGGGAACTATTTGGCGATCGGAAGACTGCCGATCGGTCAAGGTCGAACGATCCACGCGGTGTCAGAGACCAGCACCCAGGGTCGTCACGACGCGAACCCGCCGTATGTCGGAACGCATCACCGTTGGGAAGCCCAAATCCGCAGCCCAATGCATGAGGCGTCCAAAAATGGGTGCGAGCTCCCAAGCGGGTGAGAGCTATCCGCGCCGCAACTCTCTTGCCCCGAGGGGTAGGCGGACGGTAAGAGAAGGGCGTTGGCGGCATTGCAACGACAACACTCGCTGCTGACGCCGACCCAGGGCGGGAAGCCGAGGGAGCGACGCCGACGGCGACGAAGCTTCGCCGTGCATTCCCACCCGCCCCGTCACAAGACGAGGATGGGGGTGAGAGTGGCAACGGAATGCACCCTCACCTGGCCAAGGTTCGACATGCTGCTAGGCATGACCTGGCGGTCCCCGCCCCGCCCAGAGGGGATCATCGGCAGTGCACCGCATATCCGCGCGGTGTCAGAAGGGGCCCAGGTAGTATGGCTTGGCCGCCGCAGCAGTGCGCGTGAAAACAGCACTGGCTTGACGGGATGGTATAGCCTAGTATGACACAGTATCAGTGTAGCCTGATGGCTTGGCATACCCAATTCTACTCCTGGTGAACAAAGCTTGGTGGTACGGTATACCCTGGCATTGCACAGTTTCAGTGCAGCTTAACGGCGTGTCACACCCGATTATGTTCCTGCTACACGTAGCTATGGAAAATTCCGTTCGGGTGAGAAGGAGGTGAGGAGGAGCGGGGACGGGGCCGGATTAAGCCCCCTCTTGCCCCAGTCTTCGTATTTCTTTCCCCGTTGATGTTTGTTTCTTTCGGGGGTGGACAGAACCCGCAACAGTGACACATCGATTAGTGAATTGTCCGTTTTCGGTTCTCGAGAGGGCGCCGTGGCCGTCATTTCCCAGGTTTGCGCCCGCCAGGTTTGGGCCTCAGGTCGTTTTCACTAAACCACGTTTTACTAAAGGGGGGTCTTTCCATCCCCGAATGCTGCGTTACTGAGCCATTGGCGGCCCCCGAGCTAGCCAGGTGCCTCTTTCACACACACACACACACACACGCACACGCACACGCACACGCACACGCACACGCACACGCACACGCACACGCACACGCACACGCACACGCACACGCACACGCACACGCACACGCACACGCACACGCACACGCACACGCACACGCACACGCACACGCACACGCACACGCACACGCACACGCACACGCACACGCACACGCACACGCACACACGCACACGCACACGCACACGCACACGCACACGCACACGCACACGCACACGCACACGCACACGCACACACACGCACACGCACACGCACACGCACACGCACACGCACACGCACACGCGCACGCGCACGCGCACGCGCACGCGCACGCGCACGCGCACACGCACACGCACACGCACACGCACACGCACACACGCACACGCACACGCACACACGCACACACGCACACACACACACACACACCGATTCTTGCATCTTGAAGCCCAGAACGCGAGGGCGACAGCAAATCGCCGAACGGGGTCTACCATGGGGCTGGCGCCGCGGTGCAGCGGTTCGGGCCGGTTGCCGAGTCATTGCCATTCTGCATCCGCTTGCTCCGAAGCTCGGCATCGCTCGGACGTGTGCATTTTTCCTTCGGCGAGGACCATCGAGGAGCATCCTTGATCATTTGGCGAAAGAACCACGCACGAAACCGAAAAAAGCACAGGGAATGGACGTCCGAGCGATGGCGAGGAAGAGGAGGGGGGAAGCGGGGAGGGGAGCAGAAGGCAGGGCAGGCAACACGAAGAGGGTGAATGACGACTCTCTTCCAGCCCCCTCGTCGTCCTCGTTGTTCTCGTCGTCTCACCTGCCCTGGTGCCATACGGCGCTGTCGTGCTGTCGCATCGCCACGGGGTCAGATACAATAAGCCTGAGCGGGAATAACGTGACATATCCAGTTCCTTGATCAACCAGACCTTTCAGTTGTTGGCATGCCTGTCCAGGCGTCTGGCATGTCGTTTCTACACATCGAACTGTCCTGCTAGACGGAGGATGTATTTCGTTGTTCAGCGGATTTTCATAGGGTGTCGAAACAATGCAGCGAGAGCGCAGTAGGTTGCAAGGCTGAGGATAACTGCTTGCCACTTACCAGAAAGACCGAATCTGCGACAGTAACTTGCCTTCCTCGGGCCTTCATCTGCGGAATCCTCCCACTAGTTGTTTCCTTCCTCCCATCCATATCTTCTCTTGGTCCCCCCCCTCCCTCCTATCTCACCCGTGGTTGCGACCATCTCCAGCATGGTGGCGATACCTGTGCCGTCGCCGACCGCTCGCCTCGCCCCCTGGTGCGCTGTTGCCCAGGCGGATATGGAGCTGATCCGCGCGGCCGCCAACCCGGAGTGAGCGCCAAGCCCCGCGGAACTAGCCGGTTTCTCGGGGGCGGAAGAGAGAGGGGTGATGACTAGGGGGGGTGGATATCATGGCGGGGGCCATGATATTTCCCCAGATATCATGGCGCCTCTTCTTATTTCATTACGTCCCTGGCCCCCCCGCTGGGCCGCGCACATGCCGCCGGTCATGATTTGCACCCCCCCCTTCTTGGACACCCCCCTCTTGGCCGCTCCCGATTTCGGAACGGTAGATTTGACTTGATTTTTGTTGGGTGTGCGTAGTACCCAGATGAACCACGAGGAGGATCCGTTGCTTCCAGCCTAGAGGGTAGAGCATCAGGTATGGTGTTATTCCACAACTCGGCATGGCCATAAGGGGCCCAATTCTCTGGTGTGCACTTGTCTGGGAAGACCCTCCCATGGTTCCTTCGGGATGCCCCCCCTTTTCCCCGACGCCCCCCAGTCCGAAAAGCCATGCAATTCTGTGGTGCCATGCCTGTGCTCAACATTTCACAGCAGTGGAATGTCTTTCAGGGCGAGTGAAAGCGAAGCAAGGCAGAGCGAAACAATGTGAAGCAAGGCGGAGCAAGGTCAATCAATGCAAATCAAGTCGAGGCGCAAACCAAAGCCCTGCAATCCAATGCAGGGCAAAACGATGTAGCGCCGTAATCTGAGGCAGTAGACCTCCTTTAAGCTTAGCTTGACCTTAGCTGGTTCCATGCCTCAGCTTGTCTGCGTGTACTCTGATATCTGGCTTCCTCGGCTAATTTCGAGCTGGGGTCGCGCCAGACACATGGCTCCAGAGACCTGCACAGGCAGTCCTGGGAAACCCTTAGAAGCAGTCAATGTGGATGACGAATGAATGTGTCCCTACAGATATCATGACAAAGCTTGGTACAATATGACCAGCTGTAGCGCGGAATCTTCCAGAACCCTTGGGTCGTCTTGCAGCGTCCAAGGGGTCAACCTTGGCGCCCGACAAGGGAAGATCAGAGATCATCTGGCTTCTCGGAGGGCCCAAGCTGTGTTGATCTCCCATCGAGGGAGACTCGGATTTCCTTCATTGCCTTGTGGAGCTCAGATCTTCACCAGCACTGGGGAGGGCGAACTCCCCCTCCCCTCTCCCTGTGCAGTCAGATGGGGCCTCTGCTTGGAGCACCCCGCTTCTCTCCGTCGTCGTGCTCCGTGGCTGCCTTCGCGGCGCCCTTGCCGCCGTAACCTCTGCCTGCTTACACCCTCTCGCCAGCACCGTCGCCCACGTCGGGCGATATTCGACATCCTTGCCGTCATCGCCCCCGTTTCTCTTGCGCGAAAGATATACAGTCGGGGCGTTGACCTGAGGAACCCTAAATAAGGAACGAGGCCCCTTTTTATCCATAAGTTAAGCTTCGAATTTCGATCGAAGACCTACGGAAAACCTAAGGCGAGCTGAAAAACAACTAAGGAAAACTGAGCCCCTCCCAAACGAAAAGGGTTCCTTCTTCATCGCCCCGACTGTATGCGTATCCGCGGCCTCGCGGGCCGGGTCCCTGGTCCGTGATCCCGCGGACACAGGGCGTTCTTGCGCGGATGCCCCGCTCGGAACGTGCCCATGCGACCGCGCATCCGGAACATCGCGCTTTGGAGCCCAGTCCGCGAGGGCGTGGGTATGGATACGTTTTCCGGTCGAGTCCGCCTCCGCCTCCTCGTCACCATCTCAGCAACAATTGGTGGTCCCCAAACGTGGTGGTGAGAACACCCGGTGGTGAGTTTTGGGCGATTTGGGTAATGGTTTTCGAGCGCTGGCTGGCCCAGGAAACGCAAAACCTCGTGGCGACCGCGTGTCCCCAAACCCAGTGGTTACCCAGAATTATTTGTTGGGGGAATCGGGGTCACCACCGGGTGTCTCACCACCTGGTTTGGAGACCACCAAAACAAGAGTATGTGGCTACACAGACACCCTCCAATGGATTGCTCAGGGGCCTCACGGCGTATGAGCCACCACTGAGAGCCAGCGGCTTTGTACACCTCTCTACCACCCTTGAAAGTTGCGTCTTCGGGTGGGTTTGAGGCGGTCTGGCAGGCAGTCCGAAGAGGCTCAGGAGGGAACGCGTCGACCCGCAGTCGTCCTTCGGTCGCCGATGGGGGGGGGCCCGATGGCCTGCCGCCGATCTGTCGGCGATGCATCCCGATGTGCTGGGGCGACGTTCCCCCCCAAGAGCGGGCAGCCCCCTGACGTTGCCTCTCAGTGGTTTGTCGGAGTTGGAGGGTTCCTCGGAGGGCGTTAGGCGACCCGTCCTCCTCCTCCCCCTCCTCCTCCTCCTCCTCCTCCTCCCTCCTCCTCCTCCTCCTCCTTCCCCTCCTCCTCCTCCTCCTCCTCCTCCTCCTCCTCCTCCTCCTCCTCCTCCTCCCCTCCTCCTCCTCCTCCTCCTCCTCCTCCTCCTCCTCCTCCTCCTCCTCCTCCTCCTCCTCCTCCTCCTCCTCCCCCCCTGCAGGCGATGGCGGCCACGATCAAGAAGCTCGCCGAACTCCCCGCAGCGCAGCCACCCACCCCAGAGCCACAGCAGCAACCGCAGACGCCCGAGGAGCCCGAGGAGGACCCCGAGGAGGACCCTGCGCCACATGTTGAGTCCATGGACGTGGATGATCTGCGGGCTACTCTGGATGCAGCAGGGATACCTGCGCAACCCTCGGATGACGCCGAGGTGCTGCGTGGCAAGATCAGGAAGATGCAGACGAGCTACCTCTCCATGTGCAAGCGGCAAAAGCCGTCGGCCGAGTAGGTTCTCGCTTGTGTTCAATGTGCTCAGTGTGATGGTTGGAAGTGTTAGTGGAATGATGGTTGTTTCGGAAAGTGCAGGACCTTCCCCGCGAATGGAAGGAATATTGGGCTCGAGTGGCGACCGCTGTGTACTCGGAAGCGCTGGACCTGTTGTTGGGATGACTGGCACTGGTGATTGCGTGGAGGAGGCCAGCGGGAGCCCTTTCTCATTGAGTCGATGTGCTATTTCAGATGATGGTTCTAATTTTGCAGGGTTGGGACCTGCTTCTGTCCCATTGGCTTATGTGAATGCTGGTATGTGGAGTACAAGGGCTTCCACCAGTCTTTTGTCTGCCCCTGGTAGTGGGCCAGGTGCTGGGGCTTCGGCGTCGGCCTCCTGTTCAGGGACAGCGTTGAGTTCGGCGACTCGGCAGTTCTCTGCATTGGGAGCAGTTCTGGGTCCTGCCATCGTCCCTTCGCTAATGGAGGGCGACCGCTGTGCTCTCGGAAGCGCTGGACCTGTTGTCGGGCCGACTGGCGCAGGTGATTGCGTGAATGAGGCCAGTGGAAGCCCTCCCTCAGGGAAGGCTTTTATTCGGAGTACTACGGCTTCCACCAGTCTCTTGTCTGCCCCTGGTAGTGGGCCAGGTTCTGGGGCTTCGGCGTCGGCTTCATGTACCAGGACAGCGGCGAGTTCGGCGACTCGGCATTTCTCTGCATCTGGTGCTTTTCTGGAATCTACCTTCGTCCCTTCGCTTATGGAGGGCGGCCGCTGTGTTCTCGGAAGCGCTGGACCTGTTGTCGGGCTGACTGGCGCAGGTGATTGCGTGAATGAGGCCAGTGGAAGCCCTCCCCCAGGGAAGGCTAGTATGCGGGGAACTACGGCTACCACCAGTCTCTTGTCTGCCCCTGGTAGCGGGCCAGGGGCTTGGGCTTCGGCGTCGGCCTCCTGTTCCAGGTCAGCGGCGGGTTCGGCGACGCGGCATTTCTCTGCCCCTGGTGGTGGGCCAAGTGCTGGCAGTTCGGCGTCAAGGTCAGCTGTTTCAGGCGGTTGGGGGCAGCCCGCGGTCATTGCCCCAAACGATGCGGCTGATGGTCCACCTCTCACTGGTACGAGGTCGGCTAAACGTTGCTGCATCACGACAGTCAATGCTGGCTCGCATGGGCCGCTGTTTGAGTATCTCTCGGAGTACCAGGGCTCGGTTCTCTTGGCGCAGGAGACCAGAGTCGTGGAGGCCCGTTTAGGAGAATTTCAGAATAGGGCGAGGGATGCAGGCTGGCACGGGCTGTGGTCAGCAGCGTTAGAGACGGGCGAGTCGGCCATGTCCAACTCGAGTGGGGTGGTGGTCTTTGCTCGCACCAACATCACCATCACCGCCCCCCCTGACGGCAGCCATGTGATATATCCTGGAAGAGCGGTATGCGCCCACGTGCAATGTGGGGTCCCAGGTGGCATTGTCTTTGCTAGCGTTTACTTTGTGACGGCGATTGGCATGACTGGAGAAAATCTTGCTATACTTTGGGCAGTTGTGCAGAGGATTGCTCAGTGGCAGGCTCTGGGACTGGACTGGGTGATAGGCGGAGATTGGAATTGCGACTTCTATGCCGTCAATGTCAAAGGTTGGGTCGAGAAGCTTGCAGGCTTGGCGTTTGTTCCGTCGGAGGCCACGTGCATTACCGACGCTGGTTCGTCCAAGATTGATTATTTTCTGGCCGCCAGCAACTTGGTTCCAAGACTCGACAGGCAGGCGGTGGTGATGAATGCCCAAGCCACCATTCCACCTCCACATTTTCCCGTGCAGCTGGTGGTCCATGGGTCGGACAGGCCCATGTGGTGTCGAGTTGCTGATGAACCGAGGAAGTTTCCCCCGATCCCACCAGTAGGATGTGCGAGGTACCCTTACAACTGGGACGGGATCAAAGGCATGTTTGAGTCGGTGAAGGCGCCCAGTGACTTACCGCGTGTGTGGGATGCAGTACTTGATGGCGTTGATTTCGAGATCGCTGGGAGATTTGACAAAGTCGATGGTAAGGCCCAGGAATTCGTTGGACGAGCTGGACCCCCGAGATTCAAATGGGAACAAACGACATGGACTCCGCCTCGAAAGCGAGAATATCGAGACTCCAGGGTAGCTGCGTGGGCCACGGCAAAGCGTTGGGTGGCCCACTTGCGGTCGGAGAAGGATAAGCTGCACCGTTTCTGCGAGCGGCTCCGAATATGCAGTGCGGTGTGCACGTTAACCGAGATGCAGTACTTCAAGGTGCTGCAGGCGTTCGACGAGGCTGGGAGATATTGTGACAAGATTTCTGCTGAGCAGTGGGTGCTCAAGGATTTGGGCGAGGAGTTCAGTGAATTTCTGCAAAAAGGGTTGGTGATGATTGTCGATCCAAACTTTGAGAGTATCACTGATGCCATTTCCGCCCAGGCCGACAAGGTTTTAGGCCAGGAGCGTTCTAGAACGGAAAAGATTTGGAGAGAATGGGCTCGTGAGTCTTTCTTGGAAGGGGCCAGTCGGGCCCATGCGATGTCCAAAGTCCGAGCACAAGCTGAAGTACTCCAATATTGTCAGGAGTCGCAGCCATACCAGCTTGCTGACCAGACTTTGCGGCAGTGGTCCAAGGTATGGACGCATCATCGGCTTCAAGCGCCTGATCTTCCCTCGGATTCCAGTGAGTGGGACGCTCTTCCCCATATCTCTTTTACTGATGTAAGGAATGTGGTGAGGTCCTTTTCGACCAAGACAGCTGCTGGCCCTACGAGGTTGGCGCCGAGGAGTCTGGACGTCCTGTCCGACGGCGCGCCCCAAGCTATTGGCAACCTTTTCATGTTATGTGAACGGTGGTTGTGCTGGCCAGCAGATCGAATATACAGCGAACTCGTGCGACTGCCGAAACCCGATGGCGATCACCGATTAATTGTTCTGAGTAACACACTGATACGTGTATGGGGGAAACTCAGGCGACCGATTTCGAGGGAATGGCAAGATCGATATGCCTGCCATGAGATGTGGGGCACGAAATCGGGGCAGACTTCGAGCGATTCGGCATTCGACCACAATTTGCAGCAGGAGATTGCCGAGTTACTAGGGGAGAACACATGCACGATTTTTTTGGATATGTCCAAGTGCTACGAGATGGTAGACCCGCACGCTTTGTTGCGAGAAGGGAGAGCCTTGGGGTTCTCTATGCGATTGCTGTGGATGCTCGTGTGCAGTTACCAGCAGCCGCGAAGGATTCGCGCGTTTGGTAGCGTATCGGTTGGGCAGGTATCTTACCAAGGAATTTTGGCGGGTTGCACGCATGCTACTTTCCTCCTCTACCTGCTCACGTACAGGGCTGTCAGTAGAGCAAACCAGGTCTCGGTCACGGTCACGCCCCGCACCCTCATGGATGATGTCGGGCTCCAGTCCATCTCGAAGGCCCCTGAGGACCTCAAGTATCTGGCCATTGCGGCCAAGGGCTTCGTCCACGATTCCAAGGGGCTGGGTATGGTTTTAAATGCTGCGAAGTCAGGCGGGATCCCTGGGAAAAAACGTCTCTGGAAGACCGTCAGTAAGTACATGGGCTCCATGAAGATCCCGTTCAAGGCCCACATGAGGAACTTAGGCCACGAGTTGTCAGGACCTCGAGTTTTGCGTAGGATCGAGAAGCGTCGCCTGACCAGTTTTAGAGATCGCCGCCAGCGTTTCACCATGCTGCGAAGGGCGACAGGCAGGCGAGTGACATCGTTGTGGAGGACTGGGGCCCTGCCGTCAGTTGGCCACGGCGCCACTGTGGCAGGGGTGAGCGACTCGGCTTTGAAGGAGCTCAGGCTGTTCGCGGCGGTCCTCAATGGGGCTCCTGGCAGATCCTCCACGGGGCTCACGGCGTACTTGATCTCGCACAAGAACGACCAGTATGACCCCATATACCATGCGACGTTGCAGGTTGTGATTAAGTTTTCGGAATGGATCTGGGACTCCAGGGTTCAACCGAGCAGGCTCCACAGGGCCTGGGAGAAGCCCAACGAGAAGTTCGGGGGCTCGCAGAAGGCTTCGTGGGCCCAGGCCAGGGGCCCCATGGCGGCCACATGGCTGTCGCTTCGAAGGATCTCTTGGGACCTTGTCGCCAGCCACGTTGTTAGGGACGACCTAGGCCGAGTCTACGACCTCAGGACGCTGAGCCCAGCAGATTTCAAGCACTTCTTGACCGAGGGAGTGCAGAGGTGGCAGCACGGCCGCCTCTTGCGGCATCTTTATACTGTGGGTGACGGAGTAGCTATTCCAGTCTGGCACAGGGCCCTCAGGTATGCGATAAAAGGGATTCGATGCGTGAAGCGTCTTGGAGCGATTCAGGCACACTGGGCCGACGGTATCCCTATACCTGCCAGGCTGGATTTGAAGGCTGGAGGCCGATTCCGTCCCTGCGCAGCTTGTGGTCGCCAGATCAACGAATGCTGGGGACACATTCTGTACGACTGCCCTGCTCTCTTGGAGGGCGACCCCGACGATGAATTTGCTGCCCTGCCTGAACAGCTCGTCGAAGTGCGAGATCGCCTGGTGAATTCTGGAGTCGGGGCAGGTCGTCCCGAATGGGACTACACATACCCTGTCTATGGGATCCCTGAGCTTCCTGTCGGGCTACCTCCGAGAGATTCTGTGAGTTCTGAAGTTTTGTACTGGGGCGATACCGAAGGGCAATGGGGGCCAAAGTCGTACACGGACGGTTCGGGGTTCGGGTCGAATGTGCCAGAAACCAGGAGGTGTGGCTGGGGCCTATGCCAGTTGGACCCCGACACTTTCTTGCCGAAGCGGGCGATTTTCGGCCCATTGCCGTATCTAATCCAGACAGTCGGTCGTGCTGAAAGATATGCTATACGTATGGGGCTGGTTGTTCATCCAAACCACGAGGTTTTCGTGAGCGATTTACTCTCTTTGGTGGAGGAGGGGAATGCTTGGATGGACGAACTTCAGCACGGCCGAAAGCAGCATGCACGTGTGTGGCGAGATATTTTTATTGCAGCTGAGAGGCGGGACAAGAAGCTGCCGCCTCCAGCATTCCAGTGGACCCCTGCGCATCGAGACATCGAAGCTGTGGTGTCGAGCGGGGCTGGTACTACGGAAATTCAAGATTGGCTCGGCAATGCCTGGGCGGACTTTTTCGCAAGAGTTGGCGCTGCTCAACATGCTGTCGCAAAGGTGACGACTGAGAGCGTGGCGTCCGCCCTGAAAGAGCACCGACTGGTTCTTCAGTATGTGTCCTGGGGAATCCAGAGGGTGGTGGAGTCTCAGAAGTACGGACGAGATGTGTTTCCAGGGCCCCGTCCAGTTGAGATTCGTGCGCCTGTGCTCTTTCAAAAAGCGGATGATCATGTATTGTACAAGAACGTCAAGACGGGCGTTTTCAAGTGTAGAAGGTGCGGGGCCTCAGCCCGCACGCCTGCATCCTTCGACAATCTGCGTGTGGGTGGGGGTCGGAAGTGTGTGCCCAGCAAGATCACCCAGGCCCTCACAAATGAGTTCTTCAGGACGTCCCTCGACGTGTGGGAGATGCCAGTGAGTGATGCGCGCGTGGCCGCTGCCCTCGATGCCGCTGCCGCCTTAGAGCCCCAAGGAGCCCCCGAGGAGGCCGAAGGAGGCCCCTCCCAGCCACCTGTGCTCGACGGGGCCTCTAGGGAGGATGTGGACCCCCTCATCCTGGAGTGTGGGGCTCTAGGGCACGATGTGTTCCGTGTTAATTCAATGTATTGCTGCCGTCGTTGTGCAGGGCATTGTTCAGTGTTGCAGGTTAATAGTCTCAGGAAGCTGAAGCGTGAGTGTGTAGGCCTCTCTGACAACCTCAGCACTCGGAGGAACCAGCTCAGGGCGATCGACAGGATCAGCCGTGGGCTCGAGCCACGTCAGCGAGGAGGGGACCCCGAGCCCCCGCCGTAGGCTGTTTTTGGTCTGGGCCCCCAGGTCCCTGGCGTGTGTGGTCCTGGGGCCCCTCGCGTTTCCTGGTGTGGCCGTTTTTCCCTGTCCTTGTTTGTGCTGAGGTATGTCAGTCCAGCTGGCGTACTCTTGGAAGCCTGCACCCTCCTCCTCCCCCCCCTCCTCCTCCTCCTCCTCCTCCTCCTCCCCCCTCCTCCCCCTCCTCTTCTTCCTCCTCCCCCTCCTCCTCGGGTCGCCCACGGCCCCGGGGGAAACCGCGCAGTCGCAGCGTCCGGCCTCTCCACGCCCAGGGACGCCCCGCTCCGGGCGCCCCGCGCGCACGGGTGCGGGCCCGTGCTCGGCGCAGGCGGCTGGGGGGCCCGGCCGGCCCAGGGCTCGCTCATTGGTTTTGCGGAGTGCTGAAACAGCGCCGGGAGGAGTCGAGGAGGAGGAGGAGGAGGAGGGAAGAGGGAGAAGGAGGAGGAGGAGGAGGAGGAGGAGGAGGAGGAGGAGGAGGAGGAGAGGAGGAGGAGGGAGGAGGAGAGGAGGAGGAGGAGGAGGAGGAAGAGAGGAGGAGGAGGAGGAGGAGGAGGAGGAGGAGGAGGAGGAGGGAGTCGAGGAGGAAATAGGGGAGGAGGGAGGGGAGGAGTCGAGGAGGAGGAGGAGGAGGAGGAGGAGGAGGAGGAGGAGGGCAGGAGGAGGAGGGCAGGAGCACCAGCACCGGGAGGAAGGAGGACTGGGGGCAGAGGCAGCAGCGGCACGTGAGGGAGGATGGGGGAGGAGGAGGGAGGGGTCGGAGGGCGACGAGGCGAAGCAGGAGAGGGTGAGGGAGGAGCAGACGCAGGACCCGATGAGCTGGAATTGGAGCAGGAGTCAGAGGCTGGAGCAGGACGATCAGGAAGGGTTCAATCTGGAAGGTAGTCTGTTTTCTTGACTGCTGGGCCATAGGGTTCCCCTCCCCGCCCAGAGGAGCAAGAGGTTTGGATACTTCAGCACTCCGCAGTTGCGGAGAAGAGTGAGGGGGCGGGCGCGGGCTGGGTCGCGGGTTGGGTCGCGGTTGGGTCGCTGGCTGGGTCACGGGGTGGGTCGTGGTCGGGTCGCGGGCCGGGTCGCGAATGGGACGACGACAACAAATAGCAGCAACAAAACCATCAATATCAACATCAAAAACAGTCATGTCAGGATTGTTCGATCGTACTTGATCGCGTTCCAATCAACAAGTATATCTCAAATCCTCGATACCCGTTTTCTTCGTCTTCGATCGTACCATCTTGCGGGTGTATAAATATATCAACCAGCTAAATGTATTTCGTGCAGCCCCTAAGGCAGGGGAAGAGAGGACGGATGGAAGGAAGGGACACGTGGGAGGGAGGAGGGTGGAGCACGAGATAGAGTAGCAGGTGCCAGGCTAGAAGCAGAAAGCATGCGGCAGAACCAGACGGGCTGATCAGGGGGGTAGACCCTCACAGGCGGGTTGGGAAGGCGGGCACAGGTGGCCAGGTCGAACAGGCGGGTTGCTGAAGCGTGCGTCTTGCATGAATCGCGAAGAAGTCTGGAGCGATTGCGCGATTCCCGAAGAAATCGTGAGGAATTTACAGCGAGAGCGTGATTCCTGAGTGTCGAGAGGGCGCCCTTTACTAGGCCGTCCCGCGCGGTAGCGCGATTCCTGTATACATGTGAGGACGTCTCGCACGAGAGCGCGATTTTGGAATACACTGTGAGGAAGTATCAGGCGGGAGCCGCTGTTGTTGTAGTTGGGGGCCCAAGAACGTAGTTTGGTGACCCCTCTCTTTCCCTTGTTCAAAACAGGGAGCAGGTGCATTTCCAGTGAAGCAAATACGTAGACCGGAGAGGGGGGAACCAACAAGAATTAGTCTTTTGGAAGGAGAATACATCAACAACAACGATGACAACAACCAGAGAGGGGGGAACCAACAATGATTTTTCTTTTGGAAGGAGAATACATCAAGAACAACAAGGACAACAATATCAACATGGACGAGAACAACAGCAAACAATTGAAGCTTGGTCGATCCTATTTGCTCACGTGCCAGTCGATACGTATATCCCAAACCCTCGGTACCCGCCCCCGTCGTCTTCGATCGTACCCCCTTGGGGGTATATCTTCCTTACCAACCACGTGCATTTCGTCCAGCCCCTAAAACACGGGAAAAGAGGACGGGTGGAATGGGGATGGAGAAGAATGGAGCACGAGATAAATGAGCAGGAAGGGGGCGAGGATCATAATACAAGTATTAGAAACAGGCGGGCGGATCTGGTGGACAGATCAATAGCGGGCAGGTCGGGAAGGCGGCCCCAGGCGACGAGGTCGAGCAGGCGGGTTGCTGAAGCGTGGGTCTTGCATGAATCGTGAGAGGGTCTCGAGCGATAGCGCGATTCCCAAGTAACCCAAGTAAACCTAGATAGAGCCAAAACGAGAACGTGATTCCTGAGCGCCGACGGCGCACTGTCTGAATAAATTGCAAAGAAGTCCCACGCGAGAGCGCGATGCGTACATGAATTGTGAGGACGTTTCGCGCGAGAGCGCGATTTGGGAATAATTGTGAGGAAGTATCGGGCGGGAGCCGCAGGGGCCCAGTTTGAACCCCATGATCTCCCCTGTTAAAAACAGGGTGCGAGCCCCGGGGGAAACACCTCAAATCAAAAACCACAATGGTCACGGGAGGTGGGGATCAACAGTAGTATTCTTCAGTAGTGAGAGTTCAACAGCAGCACCAACACCACCACCAACAACAATATCAACATCAACACCAACATCAAAAACAACACCCATTTTAAGACTGTCCGCTCTTGTCCGTTCGCGTGTCAACCGACACGTATAACCAAACTCTCGGTACCCGCCCTCCTAGTCTTCGACCGTACCCCCTTAGGGGTCTCCGACCTGCGACGTGTAGTTCGTGCAGTCCCTGAGGCAGCGGAAGAGAGCACCGATGGAAGGAACGGACAAAGGGGAGGGAGGGAGGAGGATGGAACACGAGGATTCCCTTCGGGGACCATCCGTTAAAATTGGAACGATACAGAGAAGATTAGCATGGCCCCTGCGCAAGGATGACACGCACAAATCGAGAAGTGTATACAATGTTTTGCGGCCACGCGCGAAGAGGATGGAACACGAGAGAGAATAGAAAAAGGGGTGGTTCGGAGCAGAAGGCACGGGGCAGAACCTGACGGGTAGATCGGGCGGGTGGATCGTAACGGGCGGGCCAGGAAGGCGGGCACGGGCGGCCAGATCGAGCAGGCGAGGTGCTGCAGCGTGCGTCCTCCCTGGAAACCGCAAGGAAAATTCAAGCGAAAGCGCGATCCCCAAGTAGCCTGAGTTCCTGAATGTCGAGGGCGCGGCGGTTGAGTAAAGCGCGAGGACTTGGCATTGCTCGGACGTCTGCATGTTTCCTTCGGCGAGGACAGTCGAGGAGCATCCTTGATCATTTGGCGAAAAAACCACGCACGAAACCTGAAAAAAACAGGGAATGGACGTCCGAGCGACGGCGAAAGGAAGTCCCACGCGAGAGCGCGAGTCATGGTGAAGAAGTCCCACGCGAGAACGCGAGTTTGCCATACATTGTGTGGAAGTATCAGGCAGGGGCTCGATCTGGTGACCCCATATTTTTTGCGGAAAACAGGATGCGAGTCTTGGGAGGGGCATTTTGATTGAAATACCGGCGGTTGGTCAACCATATTTGTTCCTTCGAACTGAGAATTCAACAACGACACCAATCCCAGCAGCAGCAACAACAACAATACTTTGAGTACTAGTCGCTCTTATCCGTTCGCGTGCCATTCAATGCGTAATATTCCAAACCCTCGATCACCGCCCTCTTCGTCTTCGTTCGTACCCCCCGTAAGAATATACATGTTTCTTACCAACAATGTGCATTTCGAGCAGCATCTAGGGCAGGGAAGTGGAGGACGGATGTAAGGAAATGACAAGGGGCAGCCGGGTTGCTGAAACGTGCGTCTTGCATGAATCGCGAGGAAGTCTGGAGCGATAGCACGCGTTGCAAATAAATCGTGAGGAAGTCCATGGCGAGAGCGTTGTCGAGGGCGCTGCGTTTGAATACATTACTAGGGAGTCCCACGCGAGAGCGCGATTCCTGTATACATTATGAGAACGTCTCGCGCGAGAGCGCGATTTTGGAATACACTGTGAGGAAGTATCAGGCGGGAGCCGTTGTTGTTGTAGTTGGGGGCCCAACAACGTAGTTTGGTGACCCCTCACTTTTCCTTGCTGAAAACAGGGAGCAGGTGCAACTCCAGTGAAGCAAATATGTATACCGGAGAGGGGGAGCCAACAATAATTATCCCTTTGGAAGGAGAACACATCAACAACGACAACAACAAGGACAACAAGGTCAACAACAACAAGGGCAACATGTAATTCTGGGCCCAACAACGTAGTTTGATGACCCTTCGCTTTCCCTAGTTAAAAGCAGGGCGCAGCAGCATATGTCTACCGGAGAGGGGGGAACAACAATATTTATTGTTTAGAGAGGAGAAGTCATCATCAACAACAACAAGGACAACAATAACAACATCGACGAGAAGAACAGCAAACAATTTAAGTTTGGTCGCTCAAATTTGCTCACGTGCCAATCGATACGTATATCGCAAACAAACCCTCGGTACCCGCCCTCGTCGTCTTCGATCGTACCCCCTTGGGGGTATATCTTCCTTACCTGCCACGTGCATTTCGTGCAGCCCCTAAAACAAGGGAAGAGAGGACGGGTGGAAGGGGGAGGGAGAAGAATGGAGCACGAGAGAAATGAGCAGGAAGGGGGCAAGGAACGCGTCCCGCGCGAGAGCGCGATTTGGGAATGCATCGTGAGGAATTATCAGGCGGGAGCCATTGTTGTTGTAGTTCGGGGCCCTTCATTTTCCGTTGTAGCAAGCAGGTTGCGAGCACCGGGAGAAGCACTTCAGCTGGAAAGCACAGTTGTTACCGGAGGGGGGCATCATCAATATTTCTGACTTAGTTATGATAATCCAGCAACAGCAAGCGCTGTAAGATTGTTCGCTCTTACCTGCTCGCGTGCCATTCAAAACGGGTATCCCAAACTCTCGATACCCGCCCTCTTGGTCTGCGATCGTGCCCCCCATTACGGGTGTGTATATATATATACATTTGCAAACATATATGTATGTATGTATGTATGTATGTACGTATGTACGTATGTTTGCATGTGTATAGATATATATGTGTATATATACATATATATATATATATATATATTTGTCTTACATGCAACGTGTAATTCGTGCAGCCCCCAAGGCAGGGGAAGAGATGACGGATGGAAGGGGCAAGGGGGAGGGAGGAGGATGGAACACGCGAGAGAGAGTAGCAGGAGTGGGCTTAAAAGCCGAGAATACGTGGCTGAATTTGACGGGCAGATTGGGTCGTTAGACCTTATCGGGCGGGCATGGAAGGCGCGCCCAGGCGGCCAGGTCGAGCAGACGGGTTGTTGAAGCGTGCGTCCTACATGCGCCGCGCGGAAGTTTGGAGCGATAGCGCGGCTCCCAAATAGATCGTGAGGATATTTACGGCGAAAGCGTGACTCCTGACTATCGAGGGCGCGGCGTTCGAATACATTGCGAGGAAGTCCCGCGCGAGAGCGCGATTTCTGCATACTTTATGGTGAGGTCCCGTGCGAGAGCGCGATCTTGGAATACATTGTGAGGAAGTATCAGGCGGGAACCGTTGGTGTTGAAGTTCGGGCCCCAAAAACGCAGTCTGGTGACCCCGCCTTCTTTTGTAGCAAACAGTGTGCGAGCCACGGGAACAACAGGTTTAATGAAAATGCAATGTTCACCGTGGAGGGGGATCAGCAATATTGTTTGTTTCAGAACTGAGGAGTTCTTACCAACAACAACCACAAGAACAACACATATAGCAACAGCAACA